CAGGCCTTCCTGTCCTTCACTGCCTCCCTGAGTTTGCTCAGTTTCATGCTCAAATGTTTGGGATATACTCATTTAAATCAGCATGCCTGTGACTCTGGGAATTGTGGCAACTGAAGGTTTAACACTGGAGAAAGCTGATTTAATGAATGTGTGAGGTTGTTTCCAGACGTGTGTCCTTTCAGGGCTCGTGTGAAAATAATTTTTATATAAACTGCCGGTGCCAGCGAGAGTGGGGGCCATATCTGCCTTTTCTTAGCCAATCTTCTTTTGTTTTTGTTCAGCTTTCAAATGAGCCTAATTTTGTACTTAATTAATTCTGCCAGAGGTGGTGTTTTGTATGCAGGGACCACAGTATGGAATCAAAAGGCAGGCAACCTTGTGGTGTCACACTGTAAGCTCTACCTTGTTTGTATGTACTTCACATCTGTGAAAAGTTCAGAGTTTGTGATATGACAGTACAGTGCTGCTTTTGTCATTTTGATAACAAGGGGGGATCCTGCAGATGCCTCTGAAGTCCATAGGTTGCATCTGTGATCTCTTGCATACAAAACAGGAGGCCGTATGAGCTTCAGGGTCACCACAGTACATGCCACCTAATGTAGTCTCACGTGTTCCTATAGTGGTTAGGTAGGATACTGCAATTGAATGTCTTTATTGGAACTAAGCATTATTCTATAATTTGTCCTGTGATTTTAAAAAATAGCCAGTAACAATGCAAACGAGAGAGAGGAAAGATCATTTCTTTTCTCTTTCTTCCTGCCACCACACAAGAAACCTCTATAATCTGGCTTGCAAAATAAGTCTCTGCAATCTTAACCTAAAATATTTATGCTCAGGCCTACTTTGTTCCTGCAATGACCAGCTCCCACCTGGTTATTGTGATTTTGTTTAGACTGTCTTCCCATTTCTACATTTCATCAATAAATACTGAGAATGCCACCATCCACATCGTGACCTGTTGATTTTCATGATAAAAGATGCCCCCCTTCTGGCCTGTGACTTAAATTACAATATATTTCTGATTAAGAATATGCAAACTTGAATAACATTAATTGGTCCCAAAGAAAATTATGTATGTGTTCTATTTTCCCATATATAGTCCTTTGACTTTCCCTCCCTGCCCCCATCTATCAGCTATTGAATTATCAATGCTTATTATCTAGTTCTACCTCTGACAATTCATGACAGCCCAATGCTCATCTCCTGACTTTGAAAACCATAAGGGAAAGATCATTCTGGCAGCTTTCATGTGTGCATGTAATTGAAGGTGGAGGAAGGATGGGGAAAGCAGTCAGATATGCTACATCCAAAAAGTTTCCCTTGCTGACCACTGGAAAGGGCCCCTTTAAACTGTATGTAATTGATTTTTTTCCACAGATTCCTTATACAAGTTCCTCCTTGGGGACGCATGTAAAACATGTTGCAACCCTAATTTACTATGCTGGAGGTGGCAAATTTCTCTCCCCTCTTTCTTCCTCCCCCCATCCCCTCAAATCACACAGGGTTTTTCATTTGGAGGGTTATGGCTAGTGATTTCTGAGTTTTATTATCCTTGTCATCTGCAACA